AAAAAAACAGGTTAATGCAAGTCCAGATGTTTTCACAGGCTGCATCAGAGAAACCAACCCCCCTCTGTCATAAATCACCTTAGACAAGACAAAGGAAAGATCTCAGCCAGAAAAAAAACTTTGCATCACCCCCACAGTGGAATGCAGCTCAACTGGCAAGTCAATACACAAATAAAAACAGAAAAACAACAAAAAACTCCACATTTAACACAGAACCACCTTTAGGACAGAAACACACACAGTCCTGGACCCCTTGCTTGAACAGAGCTTTAAAAAAATAACAAAAAAAATGTTTGACAGTCCCCCTTTAATTCACAATTAGACGAGTCTCCACCACTTGTTCTGTCATGCTACCTCCCCAGCCTTTTTCCAGCGGAATTAAACAGTACTCAGGCCTCAAAAAGTTACTGCAACCGTGTAATCCTATCTGGGTGAGGTAACAAAAAAAAGAACCAGGCTGAACGACCTCGTGACCGCGCCCTAGCCGCAGCTAACAGGATGACAAAAGGACGTCTCCYTGCCGATCCTTCAATTTAACCACGGTGGTGCGGTTAACCTCACTTCACTAGAGATGCGCATCTCAACACTTATACTTCAAAGTACGTACTTTTACATACAGAACCTCCCGAGAACACACAATCTCGGAGGCGGGTACACTGTCAGAAAAATAACTAATAAAATAGCTTAGCTTAGCAATGGTCAGACACACAAAACAATACAAAGCCAGACTCCAGTGGTACTCGCAGGAAGTGAGAGGTAGAAAAAAATGTAAACCAGATGTCTGTACACAGCTACCCCCACTGCGTCATAACTCAGTTTGGACAAGACAAAGAACTGTCTTGAACCACACCCCTCTTTCAAATCTTGAACGGCCAGCGTTCAAATTTCCACTAAATCAAGCTTTTACACAGAAACAAACTAACTAACATAACAATAACAGACAACAAACATAAAAATTTAAGAAAAATAAACTGGATCCCTTTATTTTCCTTTCTCTATATTTTTCCTTCAAAAACTGGCCAGACACCTCTAAACTTCTATTTCAATACTGAGAGACGTCTGTAATCTCACTCTGCACTGCTTTTTACTCTGTAGCTGCACTTCTAATCCTTAAATTTAATATTCTCAACACAAATGTGGCATTGTTTGCTCTCTCTATATCTCAACTCTACTTCACCTCAACATAAAACACTCTGCTGAAACTCTATTAAAAATTGAATCTGACGGAATTACATGCCTTTTCCAGTCTCGGATTAGGAAACACCACAGCTTGACAATTTAAAACATAAAAGGAACAGTTTTTTCGTACTTTAAGCTGGTTTACGACATCTGCCGTCACGGCAAAGCACGCTTTCGCTGCGCCCAGAGCATGTTCTGCCCTGCCCCCTTCTCTGCAGCTGAAGCCTTTGTTCTCCTCGGAGCACTTAACTCGACAATAAACGCTCTTTTTAACCCCAATAAAAACACAGATACACAAAAACACAAATATAAACGCTAGCATGACAAAGAAATTTGATTCTAGAAACGAAAGAGACACAGAGACCATCTGAGCTCTACACATATGATCCACGCTCTCCGTACAGGCTCACAGCTGCATTTAACAAAGATAAAATGCAAAACAGACCTAAAATTCGTGGCGCCATTTTGTTGTGTCTCTCCCTGTCTCTGGTTCCGTTTCTGCTCGGTTCGGCTCAGCTTTGTCAGCTGCTGGACTCTTCTCTCTTTTCCCCTCCGTCTGCTGTCGGTGGCTCGGACTCTTTTTGTCTGCTCCCGTCTGCTGCTGCCTTTGGGGCTGCTTCCGCTATCGGTGGCTTCTCCTGGGTTGCTGAAAACCAGTGGACTTCCTCCTCTGGCAAGTCAATAAAACTCTAGGCTAACATTTGAATGAAGAAGAGACTATTTCTTCAGCTTTGGACATATTTATTAACGAGAGACATGAAAGCGCGTCCACACAGCTAGATGTTTACTGAAGCTCTGCCAGAGAAGCGTGCGCGTGCCCGCTGCTCGCTCTCGTCTTAAAGAGCCATACACACCTGAAAATACACGACATATCCCCCCTTCGATTCTTTAGAATCGACC